AAGACAGCGGTCCAAGGAAACTCTTGACAACAATTTGACAACAACCACAACAATGAAGGAATGATATCCAGGTTATGGATTCTGTTTCTCTCTCTGTATTGAAGTTTATTTTTTAATTCTGTACCTCATCATTCTCTTGCCTGTAGGATGCTGTTGCTGTAAATGCTGAACTCCTGCCATCAGCCAGCCAAACTGTAGCTGCCACTCCCCACTTGTCAGTCTTACCATTTATCAATGTTGCTTTGCTGTCTGGTGGGATTTTGTCTAATACATTGTTTTCCCTACACATTCACCTGCATAAATGACTCTGACCTAATTTTCATTTTTTATCAAATTATAGCATGAATTTCAGGTACACATTTTTATGTTTATCGTCATCCAAAACTTCATAGACAATTTTTCAGTGCCTGAAAGTCTGGATCTTCTTCCATCTCCTAGACTGAAATTACCCAGCTTTCTTCTCTATTTTCTTTATATCTACTTACTTTCCTGTATGATTGCAATTAGCAATCAGTGTCATTTTCCCATTTCAGAGCTAGGATTATAGTCTTTGAAGAACAGAAGGCAAAAATGTCCTCTATTTGCTTTTACCACAAAGAGGAAAAGGGTTTAACTTTTCCTCCACAGTCAGACTCATGGTAGGTTTCCTATATAGGTTTCCAATATCTCAAACTGGAAATGATATAACACTGTAATTGCCCCATTTCAAGAACCATGGCTTTCACCAAGGCATAGATCCAGTCTAATGCAGAAAAGAAGTAAAAACCTAGCATGATGCATTTTTTTCTCTGTTGAATTGATTTAAAGTCTTATATATGAGATGGGTGAGAGGATACAGACACACAGCACCCCCCCCAAACACAAATATATGTGCCTTTTCTTTAAATGACACAAATCTCTAAAGATAATCATTGGAGACTTAAGCCAGACATGAAAAATACTTTTCAAGTTCCGTCCGCTCTGAAAATACGATAGTGTTGTGTAGCATACTGTGCTGGCAAAGATTCTGAGGCCATGACAGGGCTTGGCAGAAAGGAGTATTGGGATCTCTTAATTCTGTCAATAACTAACTCCTGAGGAGGTAACGTAGTAATCTATTTGTTATCTCTGACCTAAATCTAATTTCCTGTTTGTGTGGAAATCCCTTCTTCCATCTTTTTTATGAAAGGATGAATAAACTTGCTCTTGCTGAGAATCTTGCCAAATGCTTTCTAAGTTCTAATTATGAGACGTATTCTGTTTTGATCATGAGTTAATTATTAAGCATTAGTAAAACTTACCAATTCAACTTAATGGAAGGTGAAAGTCAGCCAATTTAGGAAAATGAAATAGTGTAATTATCTTAAAGTAATCTGCTAACTAGGGTTGGAAAAACCCTAGGGATACCAGAGGGTTCCATTCACAAACTACAATGTAAATGCCGCCCTCTAGCAACGTGCAAAGAATACCCTGCACTACCATAGGTGGCAGTCCTGGTCTATGAGGAAGTCTATAAGGATGTCTATAAGGAAACGAGTATCATAAACATCATACTGACCATATCTGTTTACCCCTTTGCAGCTTATAAAGGGAAGAGAAGGGCACTAACATTATAGAAACATACATTAGTTTAGGATTTTATATCCCTTTTGTCATTATTTGTCAAATAATTTATTTAACACTCCTCATCTGTATTTGTAAGAAAAATTAGCAAATACAAGGAAAATAATATAGCACCTGCTCAAAACATTAGAGATTTAAAATTAGCAAAGTTCCATTTATTGATCTTCTATTGACTTGCCACTGTACTTGTCCTGACAAAAAACTGTAGTGACCGAATGGAGACCAGCAGGATGAAAATTTTGCCCAGGGCAATAATAATTCTTTTGTCTTGAATAATTCTGTTAAAGTACTGAAACTGTGTTGTTTTCCAACTTCTTACAGCATTCAGACATTTCATGAGGAGTTGTATGTTCTAAAGTTGGCAGTCTTATAGGATTACAGCTCCTGGCCATAGGGCAAGTTGGGTAAATGTCAGATGAATATAGAAAGGGGAGGAAAGTACAAGTGCTAACCACGGAAAGACACTCCATTCTGTAGAGGAATTAGATGCAGTGGAACCCAAGAGTCCTAGTCTACATCAGCTTTCTATGTTGTTCTAACATGTCTCTTAATGGCTGTAATTCTTCACTTACGTTGTTTGTAAATGTTCATGTCCCAACATGTTAGCATTTCGGTGGACTTTAATATCAAACGTCCAAAGAAACCTGGATCACCAAGTAATTTCATATAATAAAAAAAGAATTGGAGTTCATTTTTGTCCCTTATGGTTCTCATGACGGATGAAGTAGACAGATTCCATCTTTTGCTTGGTGCTGACGCAAGTGTGGGAAATGGGAAAAATTTATCAAGTAGAAGGAATTTCATTGACCACAAAATTTGCTAATACAACATTCAGAGATATCAGAAGAGTTATTTACTTTTTAAATATTCATTCCATCACTTATTCACTCATAGAAAAAAATATTTATTAAGTGCTTCCTATGTGCCTGGCCTAGTCCAAAATGGGGGAATAAAGCAGAGAAACTAGACAATAGTCTCTGCCCTCATGACATTTATATTTTAGCAGGGAAATCAACAACAAACACATAAGTGAAAAAAATACAGAGTACATCTGAAGGTGACAAAAGCTTTGAGGGAAATAAACAAGTGGAGTGGGCAACAGCACGATGGCACGGTGAACTGCAATGTTCCATACGGTGGCCAGTGACACGGCGAGCAAAGTGTAACAGGACCGCACAAACGTAGCGAAGCTACTTCAGACTATGTGGTCAGGGAAGAATTTCCAGCAATGCTGACATTTAAGCCAAGACCTAAATGACAAGGAGATAGCCCTGCCAATATTTTGGAGAAGAATCTTCACAGACCTTTAGTGAGGGGTGAGCCTGGGGTGTTGGATGAACAGAAGGTAGCATGTCTGGAGCTCAGTGAGTGAGCAGTTGGACCCACAGAGATAAAATCTCAGAGATAGGCAGGAATAGGTCACACTGGCCAAGGTAAGATTTTCGGTCTTCATCTGGATCCTTATATATAGCGCATGTTTATTGTAGGATATTATTCCCCAAACCTGATGCAGAGAGCTATTTTATCTCTCTGTATCACTCCTGGTACCTCCTAATCAGCCATTCCATCAGTCAGACTGTCAAATAAATACTTCTTGTGCCAGGCACAATGCTAAATGATGGAAATACAAGAGAGAGACTGCTAGCCCTTGCCCTTATAAAGGATATACTTCAGTGGAGAAGATATAAATGAAATGATTACAAGTATTATGAGGTCTAAGAAGTTAAGCGAGATGTATGATTGGCATTTATAGAAAAAGAGGGTTAACCTAACCTACAGCCAAGCTGCAACATACATACAGCAACAAAATAGTGTTTCATCTTACATATTTCACCTCAAAACGTCATTCCAAGATTCGATGTATCTACAATATAAAATGGATTAAAAGCAACCATTTACATGGCACTTTATAATTTTCTACATCCTTTCATACGCATCATCCCATTTAATATTCACAATAACTGTGACAGAGGTCAGTCAGTTATAGCTATCTTCTTTTTAAAGATGAATAAGCTGAAGCTATGAGAATTTAAATGTCTTGTCTACAGTCATGAAACAGTTAGTAACACAAGCAGTCGTAGCTTTTCTCTATACTGTCTATATCACCAGAGGTCTGGTCTGAGCTAAATATAGCGAAACTGTTTACCCAATAGCACTAGGCGCCTAAGTCAGAGGCAAAAGAAGAGAGAATGTAGCATCTTCATTCTTAAGACATATGGGATCTATTTAGGGAGGTGTTCAGATAAGCAGCACATAATAAACTGTGCTGAAATTCTATGTGCATACGAAGTTAGGGAAGAACCAGAGTGGTACGGGATTATTCTCTAACCTTGCCTGGACAGAAAATTTTAAACTGGGCCTATAAATAGACTATGTGGCTAGATTTTAATGCTTTTACATTCTGAAATTCTCTGGTTTTGTTTTTCTTTTCCCATTCTCAAAATCACTGCCAATCAATGAATCTTATCCATCATTTCCTCTGAGGTTATTGCTCAGTTCAGAAATCTACAGTGTTTCTTCACTGCACAGATTAATCTTAGCTACTCTCTCTCTCCCTGCTGAAGACTTCTGGCCAGGCACTCCAGAAAACTTTACTCAGCATTCTCTTCTAATTATTTTATTCCCAGCTCTAAGCCTGATGGCAAGAATTCCATTTGAATGACCTATCCTCGAATACGAAATTGTTAACCTTTAGGAAAGCTTCATTCATTTAACCTTCCTCTATTTCTTAGAAAATAGGTAGGGAATTCTACTCAGTATGTAACCCTGAATTTGTTGCTTTACTAAATGAACATTCTCTGTTGCTCTCATATAGTGCAATGAGTTTATTTTTCCAATTTTTGCTTGATAATCAACAAATGTCTGGTTCTATTAATATTGATTATTTTACATTATGTTTTATAATGAGCCAGCACCTGGAATACTATTACATAAAAATACATTTGATATTTTCAAATAATATCACCATCTTATTACAAACATTACATATCTAATCTCTTTCTTCTCCCACTATACCTGCAAATGCTCTCTCTATTAATTAAAATTTGCCAATAATGCATGTCAACCACCAAGTGATTAAGACACAAGAGAAGGATATTCTCTTCAATTATGGATTTGTGTTTATGTGTTAATTGTCTTCTTCTTCATGGCTATGACCTGATGCATGGCATGTAATGTACTGAAGACAAACACTGCTGTCAACCATCACTATGTGGCAATGTGCCAGCTCCCATGCTAAGTGTTTTTGGTATCCTATTTTATGTCACTTTCACATCAACTCTACAGATAATTAGTTGGCAATATGAGTTTCCTTCTAAAAAGTCAGTGAAGATCAAAAGCACATTTTTTTTAAGAGAAACTGATGAGGAACATCTTTGTAAAAAATGAAAAACACTTACAGGAACCAAGAATTTTTTAATCTCTTCCAATGCATGACTCATACGTGAATAAGCTTCCCCAGGTGGCGCAAACACTTCAATTAATACATGAAGTTCATCACTCAAGTGGGCATATTTGGCTTCCCCACTCTTCCTTAGTTCTTCTTCCTGTGAAAGAGGTTATTTTTAGAAATACAAATCCACTCATTTTGCATTGATTTAACACTTACCAAGAATATGACAAAAGGACATAATCTAAGCAGATTTTCCGTAAGTAGAAACCCTCTGAGAAATAAAAATCTGGTACAAGCCATTTAAAGATTTTAAAAATCATTTTTGAGTGTTTGAATGATTTACAAAAAAAACCCTGGCATAATTAGTATCTACAATAGATTTTAATCAGCTAAATGAAAATGCTAAGCCCTTGGAAAGAAGTTACAGAAATGCCATTAACTCTTTAGTCTACACCACTACATTTTAGAACTGCAGATAATAAACCAAAGATTATCACTGTTCTTTAAGAAAACCAGGACTTTCTAGCTACTTTTGAGAAGTGGAGGAAAGGTTACTTGTTGGCCATGAAAGGCTTGAGCTAAGTACGCAAAACCAAGGCTTATCTCCCAGCCTATGTTCTCCCTGGCTCAGATTATTATAGAGCTTCATACCCACACCTTCTCTATCATTTGCTGCCTTGTTTTGGTCAAGAGAAGTATAGAAAGGGATGTTGGCTAACTATTATGTTGGTATTGATTCTGTATGAGCTACTTATCTTCTGTTTAACCAACAACAGATTTCTATTAGATCAAATTTTCCATTGTACTGTGCCCAAGCAATTATTGAAGCTTGAATAATTCAGTACAGGAACAGAGCAAACCAGCATATGATACATATACTTTGCTAATGTGTGCTAGGTATTTTACACATATCGTCTCTAATCTCACAATAACCTTGCACATCACTCACATATTTCAGATTAGGAAATTGGTTAAAAGACTTTAAGTAGCTTCAGCAAAATGGTATTCACACCCAGCTTATTTAGCAACCAGGTTTGCATTGTTTTAGGATTTCAAGGAAGCAAAATTTGGTTAAAATTAACATAAATAACATTAATTACGCTTTACCTTTTTTACCTGTCTTGACATCCCTCCCCAACAAACTAGCAGTTGTTTCACTAAATTTCAAAGGATAAAAATTAAAAAGTATTTTTTGCTTTTATGTAGGGCTTAAGTTAGGAAAGTGACATGAAAGACCTAAACCAGATAAATGAAAGCAAATTTGCTATTGACTTCATATGAGTTACCTATATGATCCATGCTAATGCGCATGTTTATCTGCTAAGAAAAGTCCGTCATTTCAACATATGAAGGATCCATGAAAGAGATGGGAAGCTGTTTCTGCTTCCTGTACATCCCACACCTACTCAAATCTCTTGAATAGCAAAACCTCTCAGCCCGAGGAACCTCTCTCCACTTCCCTAAGCATAGTTTCTATCTCTAACTCGGAGCTTTTACCCAAGATGGTTTTTCTTAGCGCCCATTCTCAGTCTGGGGAGGAGAAGGAGTGCATGGCTAAACAAATGTACCCATAGGATGTGGTAAACGTTTCTTTCCTCTTTGGGTTCTGCTGGGATGCAAGCTGTCTGTGAACTCTGAGGTCAGAGTCACTTGCACATAACTGCTCAGGTAGTTAAACCAGAAGCTTCCTCATATTGCCTGCTTCTCAATACTTCCTAACCTGATTTCCAGCTGAAAATTAAGGGCCACTTGCTAGCCAGATTTTATAAGGTCTGTGTACTATGAGGTGTGGCATTCAAATAAGAATTGTAACGCTTATTTTAAAGGTTCTCAAACAAAATGAGCCTGATTATATACCTCCGCAGTTGAGCCAATGGGCTGACGTTCATGAATAACTGTAGCTTGCTATTTAAAAACACATTTGCTTCTTTGCACCCCTACCCTCATCATCCTTTATATAAGGAGATGAGGAAACCAAGGTCCTTAGAGATAAAGCAACTTCCTAGAGGCCAAGAGTTAGTCAGGATTCAAGCCAGGACTCAGCAAGGTAGGTGACAGTACTGATGAGACTTCAAACAAGAAAAGTTAACACAGCAGAACCTATCGTGAACTAATTCTGGTTAAATTTCAAAACTAGACTTTCTATCTTCAAAGATGTGTTATAGTTGAACTCACTCATTGGGCTGACTTTTGACAAAGCAAAATTTCCCACGCTTTGCTTTTTTCATCTGTGAAATCAAGATAATAATACTTACCTCACAGGATTTGCGAGTTTTGAGAAAACTGAAGAACATTTTATATACTAAAAAATGTGATACATATGTACTATAATAATAATAAATATTATTCCCTATATTCTCAAGTAGTAGTTTAAAATCATGTTTGACTTTTTCAACAGAGGCAAAAATAAATGTGGCTCAAACAAGTAGAAGAGTTATCTTCCTCTCAAGTGAAAGTCTACGCTGTAGGTGGCGGAGCAGGGGGTCCTTCTCCACACTGCAGGGACTCTGGTTCCTCCTCTCTGAACTCGAGCCCTTAGGGATGCTGTTCTCATGTGTGTTATAAAGGAGGCTGTCCACCATCACTTCCGAATTCCATCACATGGAAAAGAGAGAGAAGATGTGGACAGCAAAAAGCTTCTTTTTGAGGAAATACACCAGAGGTTTTATACATCATTTCTGCTCACATCTCTTTGGCAAGAGTATAGCCATCCGGTGGCCTTGGATGCAATGGATGCTGTGAATGTGGTCTCAGACTGAGTGGCCATGAGACTATCTAAAATGTGAGGGCTTCATTTATGAGACAAAAAAGTGAGAATGGATCCTGGGTGACAATGAGCTGTCTTTGCCATTCAGTCCTCATTCAGGGCTAGTTAAAATGACTCTTGATTATTGAGTCTAATTTTGGTGAATAGCTAGCCAGTATCTGCCAGAATGTCCAAACTTTATTTCCAAAAACAATACTATATCCCCTCCCCAGTTGTATTTATAACATAAACCTCCAAGTTCCATTTGAATATAGGCAGACATCACAGCCATCCTGAACAACACAAGTGCCTGGACACCAGTAAGTGTATTTATAGTAATTTAATACAATCTCTTGAGGTATTTCTTAAACAAGTGTTCCAAATATATTTGGGGAAAATATTTATCTTTGCAATAAATGCATCATCTAATAAATTGATTATGAATGGAGCAGTAGTGTTTTCGCATTTCTCCCCAATTACCTTTTGGATGTTTTATAACAAAGATCACAGCACCCTGGAAGGTTACACTCAATAGAACCGAGGACAAAATAGCAACAACATTAAAGAAAAAGATCAAGAAAATTAGAAATGCTGGAAAAATCTTGAGTGTAAATAGAAATGAATAGTTGCAAAGTTAACACTACAGAAGATTGGATCTCCAGTTAATAAAGGGGCAGAAAAAGGCACAAAGGTTAAATCAAAAGACTTTAAGATCACACGCTAGAAGGTGAATCTGCTTGACTTGATTCAAAATTCTTCTTAAAGTCCTGCACACTCAGTTGATATTATTTAATCTTCCATGAAGACGGTACATTTATTCCATTGAGGGTATTTACCTTAACCACCGACCTTCAGAAAATGATTTGTGTGTTCAGCTCTTACAAAGGAATCATACGTTAATTATTTTAAATAAAATTACTAGCCGCTAAACCTAAGAGATTCTAAAAAAATCATTAGGGAATATCAAACCGAGTTTTACATATCCCCAAACACTCTACCATTGTTATACTTGAAGGTAAAATATAAGTAAAAACATTGTTTTTTATTGGTTACTTTATAGAGAATAGCATGGCAGTAAATACAGTCTAATTTGAATTGCATTCATGTATTGTTAAAAGGATTTTTAAAGAAACTTTCTCTTAGGAATTATCATTTCCATTTTATCTTCTACAAAAGAATGTTTCTGATTTGGAATTAAGTTGACAACTAGGAAATTTTTCTCATAATTCAAAACAGCATGTTCACTGAAGAAAACTTGAAAAAATCCCCAAAAAGTACAAATACTTTTTAAAAAAATTAACAACCATACAGTTCAAAATATACTGTTAGCACTTTCAGCGTATTTTCTTCAAGTCTCTTTTTAGAATAACAATGCTTATGAAATAGAAGTCCTAATTTTGGTATTTCCTCTTAAGTCACAGGTATGCAAAGTGCTTTCCATGGATTATCTGATTTTATCAGCACGACTATACCTTAAGCTAGATAATGTTATTTCCCTCATTTTATTGATGTGAGGACTGTGGCACAGAGAGAGAAACTTGTCTAGAGTTACACAGATGATAAATCATGGAGCTGGATTAGAATCCACATAAGCTCTTATCAAAGGTCAAGTTCTTAATCATGATTGGTATGTTGCTGGTACAGGTACTTATGTGTAAGTAAACGTTTTATACATGCAGATTTCCCCATGGATGTCTCTAGTTTCTAGAAGACCTTGCCAGCAGTCTCCCAGTAATTTCCTGGTATTTAGTTCCCTGTAGCCCTGTGCTCTCCAGTGGAGGCTACAGTAGATTACAGGTCCTTATACACAAGAACAACTGCCATGAATTTTCTTCCTCCTCCCCAAAAGGTTCTGATTCCTTAGTAGCTGTGTGCCCATCGGTACTGGTATTTTGAAGGTTCTCACTCATCTTGTACTTTATGATAGACTCCCCCCAAAATACTAGTGATGTCACATCACACTGTTTATCCCTAACTCTCTTTTTGCAACCATCAGTTCCAAACAAGGCATTCATCCGAAGTTTTCCAGGTTGAGCTCAGATTCATTTGCACAATTTCTCATGGATATCCAAGCTGTATTCCTAAAACAAGTGTGTCTCACGAAGGGCCATTCTCCATGCCCCTGCACAGTTCATCCAACAGCAGGGGCAGGAGGGCGAGGACCCTCTGCACCTGTTTCTATTCTGGCGTAGGGACAAAAGTCAGCTCACAGCTGGGCATTTCATCTTAGTTCAGATGATTCAAGACAAATTCCCCAAAATAGGACACAGAAGCAGATGTCCCCTTGTGCTCTGGTCTTGAGCCCAGTATTTGGTCCCTGGATTTGCCAAATGCCAATTTTAATATAAAACTCAAATTTTCTTAAAATACTGTAAAAGATCCACTCTCAAAATCATTTATGGGTGACA